CCTTGGAAATCAGAAGAGCAGCATTCTTCCTGCACAGGGAGAAAGGTAGAGAGACAGGAATGCGTAGGCAGGAAGGACACAGAGAAGGGGTAACCACAGGGAGGAAGTGGGATGAAAGCTGTTACGCTGTGGGGAATGTAACCAGTGTCACAAAACAAAATGTGTATGAATTGTTGAATGTAAAACAAATCTGCTTTGTAAATTTTCACCCAAATCATGATAAAACATTTTAAAAAATTAAAATAAATGAATAATAAAAATCTGGTGATTTTTAATTGTGTTACCTTAACATAAAGTTGTTATTTTCATCATTTACCTAAAAGAATGAAGTAGGATTGGGAATAACCCCATGGTCCCAAGAACTGAATTGCAGTTCCATGGTTTGATCCTAGGAGCAAAGCAGTATAAGGGATCGAATACCCTACTGGATCTCAGTGGCGAGGTTACACAGCAGTTGTGTCATCATGGCCAACTCACTTAATTGCCGTGAATCTCAATTTCTTCATTTCCCAAAAAATAAGGTACAATAATAATCCCAACCTCATAGTGGGTTGATCCTCAAGAGGATTAAACAGGACGATGTATGTAATGCCCTTAGCACTGTGCCAGGTTCGTAGTTAGCTCTCAAAAAATGGAAGCTGATATCATCATGATTGTTATTTAGTCATGTGTATGAGCCTTTTCAGCATCTTCTTTCTTTCTCCTTTTTCCTCCAAGGTGCCTCCACCCAGAATTCTAATACCGTGGAGCCAGAGAAGCAGGTGGACAATACCGTGAAGATGGCTGGTGTGATTGCTGGCCTCCTCATGTTCATTATCATTCTCCTAGGTGTGATGCTCACTATCAAAAGGAGGTGAGTCTCTGCTGCTGCCCTGCAGACTCTGCCAACTCCAGGTGGCCCTAATTGTCCTACAGCCAGATCACTGTTCTGTTGATCAGTGTCCAGTGGGGACCTTCTGATGTGATCGTTGAAATACTCCAGCCAAGTGTGGCTCATTGTATGTGTGCTTGCAGGGTGTGTGTTGCCTGCTTGGTGAGTGGCCCTGAGATGGCCAATTTCTCCTTATGGGGCCATTGTCCCTATGATTGGGCCACCCAGATGTGCCATGGGATCCTGTGTATCATGAAATTTGGCTTTTTGGTGTTAACTGCTACGTTGTGATTGGTCATGTCATCAAGATAGCCTCACCTAGGTGGAAGCTCTTCTGGGTCTAGGAATATAGTTTCAGGAAAAGAATGCCTCACACTTCTCACCTCCATTCACCCCTGATTTCTCATTCCTTTAGTGGTCAAATAGAAGCAGAATCCCAAGGTGCCCTCTGTTGGATGATGTGAAAGTCCCTAAGGAAAGCCCCTTTCTGTTCCATGTCCCACATTCCCTTCCCAGATGGGTTGTTGCTGCTTGTCCTCTCTCAACAGCATGTCTCCCCAGGCATCTCTGGTCATTTAACACAATTTTCTAAGTTTGTGTGTTTCCTCCAGACTGTGTTGCCCAAGAAAGCAAGTGTGCAGATTTCTCCCTTATTCAAGATACACTACTTGAGTGTTTCTGTTTAGCAGACAGTCACACAGCTGTGAAAAGCACAAAGGAATGACTGAGGGAAAGGAAACACTAAGGGTAATTATCAGCTCTCACTGTCCCTAAAGTGCATTGGTTATTCCTCTAAATAGGAAGTCCTACTGACCACCTCTTCTTAGTCTGTGGACTGCCACCATGTCGCCATGTTTACTGTCCACCTACTACCAGAGAAGAGTAA